TCCGACTTTGTTCTTTTGTCTTTAGTAGTGCTTTGCTTATCTGGAATCTATTTGCCTATAAAGTTGGTGATTAGTTTTTCCATCTCTTTATGAATGATGATGGAATCTAGATCAAGATTGCATTGTATCTGTAAATTGCTTTGGACAATATTGACATTTTCAGTGTTCAGTCTTCTATCCATGAGCATGGTCTATATATATGTATGTGTATACACACAAACGCATATATATAATTATTTATTTTTGTGCTGTTCTTTTAATAATTGTTGGAGATGTTGGATTAAGGTTATTTTTTTGTTGTTGTTCTTTTTTGGATGTGTGTGTTTATTGCTATAAATTGTTTTCTTGGCAGTGCTTTTGCTGTGTTCCAAGAATTTTGTATGCTATGTTTTCATTCTCATTTGATTCAAGGAATATTTTTATTTCTCCAGGTTGTTACTCAGTTTCCATGTATTTGATTTTTTTCCTTGGATTTTTCTGTTGTTGATTTCTGATTTTATAGAACTGTGATGTGAAAAGATGCTCGGTAGTATTTTGATGTTTTTAATTTATTGAGGATTGCTTTGTGACCTAACATATGGTCCATTTTGGAGAGTAGTCCATGTTGTCTCACTCTTGGTGGCTTATTTTCTGAGTAAACTATACAACAGAATTGAATACTACTTTCCCCTCCATACAAACCACCAGGTACCTCGCCAGCTTTTGTATGAGATTCCCTCCTGACCTCCTTTCTGTTTTCTCTTCGGAACTCCTGCTCCCATATTGGAGTGATATCCTGAGCTTGCCTTCCTTCACTAGCCAGGGATTCCCTTTACTTCGGTCTTATGTTAGATCCTTTCCTGGATCCAGTATCATTTTGTGGGGGTGGAGTAGGGGGTAGATGATGGCTTACTCTTTCACTTTGGCAGGTGACATATTCTAAGCCTTGTATATCTGAACATTTGTTCATTCCACCTTATGTTTAATTGAGAGTGTAGAATTCTAGTGTGGAAACCACATTTCTTCAGATATTGGGAGCCATTGCCCCACTGTCTTCTGCCTTCCAGAGTCAAAGGAATCATCCTTTAGTGAATTTATTTTCTCTTTGGACATTGGCAGGAAGCTTTCTTTAGCTCCAGTTTTCTGAGATTTCAGTGAGGAGCCTTGCAGGGGGTCCATGTATCCATCAGGCCAAGTACTCACACAAGCCCTTTGAGCTTGGAGATCTGTGTCCTTTAGTTCTGAGGAGCTTGCTTGAATTATCTTAATTTCCTCCCCTCTGGTTTCTCCTTTTGGACTGATCTTCTCATTTTTTTCTCTTCTGTTTTGTACCTTGGTGTCTTTTTGCTCTGTGTTCAGGGTTTTCCTCTGCCCATGTTTATCATACTCCTCATATAGTGAGGTTTCCGTTCCTTCTTTGGTAGGTCAAACCATATGAAATTGTAGCTATAAGCTGTAGCTTCATGTAATCTGACTACTGTTTTTAATTTTGCAAATTGTATTTTGTTCTCTGAGTTTGTATAGAGTGAGCTCTTCTTGTTTCTTGTGTCCAGAGATTATCTTACCTGTGGATGTTAAAGATAGTTCTGTTGGTCTCTTCTCCCTGCAGGGGGTCTGTTTCTCTCTGTTGGGGTCAGTGGCTTTCATAGGAGGTTCTCCTCAGGTTTCTGTTTGCCTTTCTGCCCACTTGCCCTGGAAGTGAGTCCCTGGAAGGATAATGGAGGAGCCTGTTGCAGTAGACACAGTGGTCGGGTGGTCTGCCCAGGTCGTCTCATAGGAAAAACACCAACGTGATGCAGTGTTGTTAGGTTTTGGACTGGTGTCCTTGCTCAGCCTTGGCTTCAGTTACCTTTTGCAGGCAGCCTTGGAAGGCTCACTTATACCCAGCCAGAGGTCTTCCTAGCTCTTGGTTCAAAAATACCTGAAAGTGGAGCCTAAAGACCCTTTCATTAAGGATGTTGGATAGAAAGGATGGCTCCACAATGGAGAGTCCTTGGTCCCTGGGCCTGAAAGAAGTTTTCTGCTTTTTGGCCTTAGACTTCCCTGTAGCCTGGTTCTATGGGCCCTTATAAACTTCCTACCTTCGCTACACCACATGTAGGCTCTCCCTTCCTTGAGGACACTCCTGGCTGCACCCATATGGCCTGCTAGTCTACAGTGTAGTCTGGTCACGTGGTCACTGTGGTCAGTCAGGCATTGCGAGGACTTTTGAAGCCCCACAGTAGCTCTTATCCAAGGTTAACTGATGTCAGGAATAAGTCTGTTCAGTATGGGGGCCAAATTGACATAGTGAAGAGTGAAAAATGAAACGAATACCTATGGAAGTAACTGTATTTTACCATGTACTGGCAAAATCCCTAATATATTTGAACTTAAAATGAATTGAGTGCTGAATTTTGGGGCCTGATTTTTCTGGACCAGTTATGTGGTAGTGTTGTACAGTATCCTTCATTTTTCTGCAGTAAGATTATAGTGGGCCAGCCATTCTGGAAAATATTTGAGGGTCTAGTTAGATTAAGGTAGGCCCTTTGTTACTTATTTTTTAAAATTGTGATAAATATAATAAAACATTTGCCCTCTGAACCATTTTTACTCGTATACTTCATTGACTTGACTACATTCATCATGTTTTGCAACCATCAGCATTATCCATTTCGTTTTCCCATTATGCTCAGCAGAAACTCGCTGCTCCCCTAAGTGGTGGCTCCCACCCTCTCCCCTCCCTCCCACCTCTGAAAACCACTAATACAGGTCTTTGCTCATTTGCCTGTTCCATATATTTCAAGTAAGTGGGATCATACAATATTTGTCCTTCTGTAACTAATTTCATTCAGCATCATGTTTCAAAAATTCATCCATGTCGTAGCATGAGTCAGAGAACTTTATTGCTCTTTGCGGCTAAGTAGTATTTCATTGTGTATATAACACAATTTGCTTATCCATTCATCTGCTGATAATCATATAGGTTGTTTCTTCCTCTTGGCTTTTGTGAAGAGTGCTTCAGTGAACATTGGTGAATAAGTATTTGTTTGCATTCCTGCTTTCCATTCTTTAGATTATACATCTAGAAGTAGAATTGCTGGATCATGTGTTAATTCTGTGTTTAACTTTTTGAGGAACCACCAAAATGTTTTCCATAGTGGCTGCACCATTTTATATTCCTACCAGTAATGGATGAAGGTTCCAGTTTCCCCACATCCTTGCCAATATTAGCCATCATTATGGCAGAAAAGGACTATCATTGTGGTTTTGATTTGCTTTTCCCTAATGTCTAATAGGAGCTCTGGTAGCATAGTGCCTAAGGCACTTGACTGCTAACCAGAAGGCCGGTGGTTTAAACCCACCAGCCACTCCTCAGAAGGAAGACTAGGCAATCTACTTCCGTAGTGATGCTGCCTCAGAAACCCAAGGAGGGGTCGCTATGAGTCAGGTCCGACTCGACGGTGCATAACAACAACAAAAACAACGTCCAATAGGAGCTCTGGTAGCATAGTGCCTAAGGCTAACCAGAAGGCTGGCAATTCAAACCCACCAGCTGCTCCACGTAAGGAAGACTGGGCAATCTACTTCCGTAAAAATTTACTGCCTCAGGAACCCAATGGGGGTCGCTGTGAGTCAGAAGTGACTCGATGGCAGTGAGGGGGCTTTTGTTTTGAATGTCTAATGATGTTAAGCTTGTTGGCCATTTGTAGTTCGTTCCTCTCTTGTGAAATGTCTGTTTAAACCTTTTGCCCATTTTTTAAATTTAGGTTTAAATTAGGTTTTCTTTTTGTTAAGTTGTAGGATTGTTACTTTTGAGCATCTGTTTTTGTCTTGCATCCTTTTCCATTTTCACTTCTGTGAACTTGTCAGTCATCATTTGTCAGTGGTATGGATATCATTCAGTTTTCCAATATACTTGTTCCGAGTTTGCTGCCATTGTAAGATTGCATTATATTTACATCTTTTGAAATTCACTCCCTAGAGTGGGTAAGTGCCTGTGCAAAGGTATTGTGCAGACTTCAGGAGATGGCTTAAAAGGGGCTAATTTGACAAAAGTGACCAAGTTTATTAGTGACTGGTATTGGGCCGTGACTCATACTTTCTCACACCAGCCACCTGCTGACCTGCAGGGACTCTGCTGACACTTAGAAAGCATAGGCCTCACACCTGTTGTCACAGTTCACCCTTGCTGTTTCTGTTCCTGCTCCATTTAGTAGGAAAATGGAAGTGCTGATGCTAGTGACGATGAGCAAAGGCCTCATGCTTAATACCATCCAGGAGAACTTAGAAATCATTGGCCCTACCCAGAGTGGTGACTCCAGGTCTCAGTTGCATGCTAATTGACATTTCAGCCAGGTGACTGGATTCAGTGCTAAGAGTGCAACAGAAGAAAAGTACAAGTGGAAGGAAGCCTACAGGGGACGAATGAGCCCACAGGTGAGGGGCCGCAGGAGGAGTCTGTGTTCTGTTCTGTTCTCAGTAGAGAGCCTCTGCAGCCCCTCCAGCAAAGTAGCCTTCTCCTTGGGATCCAGTTAGAGCATCCAGGAATGGGGTCAGGAGAAAATGAAAATGTGATGAGAGGACAGGATCCGAGATGCCCCTGAAGCATTCTGACTGACTCTCTCAGGGGACTTACCTGCAACTAAGAGTACAATGATGCATGTACAGAAATATGCACCATCAGTATATCAAGTGGAAAAGCAACCTATTAAACCACATGTCATGGTCCTGTTTTTAAAAAAAAAAAAAAAAAAAAAAAGACAGGTAGGGAGACCTAGGTATGGGAAAATGTATATATATACTGAACGTGGTTTTCACTGGCACCCATCTGACTGCTTTTTGGGCATATCATAGCCTTTATAATCAGTCAATGAGACCACCCCTGTTTGGAGAAGAGAGCTTTAAACAGCTGCAGTTGAGGGCATCAGGGGCTTGAATGCTATCAAGCTCTGTCCTGTTCTCTAACACTGAGCACCTGGGATCTGGGGACCTTTGGGTTCCGCTCTGTCTCACCGCACATTGTTTCCTCGTCCCTGCAGACTGCAATAAGGTCACTGATCAGTGCCTGTCCTTCTTCAAACGCTGTGGAAATATCTGTCATATTGACCTAAGGTACTGCAAGCAAGTCACCAAGGAAGGCTGTGAGCAGTTCATAGCCGAAATGTCTGTGAGCGTCCAGTTTGGGCAAGTGGAAGAAAAACTCCTACAAAAACTGAGTTAGTCCAAGGTCAAGTATGTAAATATTGGGTGGGCAGGGGGAGGGAGATGGTGAGGGAGGGGAAAGACTTCACAAAAAATGAGGGATTTTATTTTCAATTTGGAACTTGGAACAACAGACCATGGAACGATTCCATTTTGCAAGTCTTGCCAAGGAAAAAGTTGTCCCACCAGCCCTTTCTGGAATGAGTGAGCCGGACCCTTTCCTCTGGCCTTTCTGAATGACCGTACTGTTTTCTGGACCATTTCTGTGGCAGCCTTGAGCAAGAGAAGACATTCCCATCGGCAGAGGATGGGACCTGGAAAACTTGTCTTATTTTAGCACGAGCTTAGGAGTCTTTGGTGGCGGTGTTGGTTTTCTGTTTTGGGACACCTCGTTCCTGACAGCACTGAGGCTCCTGGCGTCCTCATAAAATGGACCACACACCACATCTCTGCCGCCATCTTGACACTTTTTTTTTTTTTTTGGTTTTGTTTTGTTACGGCTTACTTTATGCAGAACTATTTTTGTACAAATTGTTTAAAAGTTATTTATGCAAGGTTTGAATGCATACCAGTGTTTTTATTGTTTTGCGATTGCCAACTTTCATGGGCTCCTCAAGGTAGGAGAGAACATCACCTGAACTTCATCATCAGATGGGCCGGATCTGACAGAGTGGGCGGGGCCTTCCCTTCAGAGCATGTTTAACGAAGGGTTGTCCAGAAGTTCCATAGGCATGTGGTGGAAATCTGTAAATTATAGTTGAAGTAAGACACTTTGCCACGTTTTCTCTTTATAGAGTTCACCTTTTTCTCGAGATTTTAAAATTCCAATTTCAGCCTTTGCACTCAGGAGGGTTCCGCCCCAGCATGAGCTCTTGTTCTCCGTCTAATTCATATGGTGAGTCAAGAAGTAGAATCAGCGACCCAGTGTAGCCTTTCTTTTCCTGATTTCTCTCCTTTGAAGTGTAAGTTGAGTTCTCAGTTAAGGCTTATGACATGGCTCTTTCCTCCTGTAACATTATGCATTCATAAGTGCCATTGTTGTAAGGCGGTGTTTTCCTAGACCTCCCTTGATGCGGTTTTACCTTTGTTGACTTTGTATAAACAGTTGTACAAAAAAAAAACACCCTTGGACTTGGAGGGTTTCTTTTCTAGGAGTGGATGAGAAGTTTAATTGGAAAGCCCCGAGTCAGTAGGGTTTTAACAATGGAGTATGTTGTTTTGAGCCCAATCTCTGGTTTCTCATTCATCTGAGAAACGCAGTAGCCCCTTGAAACTTGTGGTTTTTTTATCCCTTGCTAGAAAGAGACCTTACTATTTGTGGCTAATAAAAGAAATACAAAGAACTAGTTTCTGACAGTGGCCATGTGTAGGGCTGAGGCACACATGCCTTTAAGGGGCAGGGTGGCTCACACCTGTACAGAAAACACCTTGCCAGGTCGTTGGGCATCGCGGCACTGGAGAATGCCCTCACTTCCTCAGCCTCCCTGGAGGCCGTGTTCTGTGGCCTCCAGCTGCTGTGGTTGACAGAGGTGCTTGCTTAGAAGAACCTTTCCAGGTGGCGGACGCAGACACCAGTGAGAAGTAGTTTTAGACCACAGGATTTTTTTTAAAAGCCAGTGTCCTGTCCCGTTTTTTCCATGTACAGCAACAATTGCTCTAGTCATTTTGAAGATGAAGAAGGTAACCAACTTCTTTCCTCAGTAGTCAATAGCCATGTAAAAACCTTGACCCCATGGGCCAGGCCTTCCTGCTAACAAACTCAGCTCACTGCTGTCAAGTCCATTCTGACTCACAGCAACCCCTCCTTGGGTTTCCAAGGCAGTATCTCTACAGAAATAGATTGCCCAACCTTCCTTTTGTGGAGTGGCTGGTGGGTTTGAACTGCCAGCCTTCTGGTTAGCAGTCAAATGCCTTAGGCATTATGCCACCAGAGCGCCTTCCCACACGTTGTTGTTGTTGTTATGTGCCGTCGAGTCGGCCCCGACTCATAGCGACCCCTCCTTGGGTTTCTGAGGCAGTATCACTACAGAAGTAGATTGCCCAACCTTTCTTCCAAGGAGTGGCTGGTGGGTTTGAACCGCCAGCCTTCTGGTTAGCAGTCAAGTGCTTTTAGCCACTATGCTACCAGAGCACGTTAAGGGGGTTATAATCAAAGTAATAGAAATCATCAAGTGTCGGGGAGGATGTGGAGAAATTGGAACCTTCCTGCGTTGCTGGTGGGAATGTGAAATGGTGTAGCCACTGTGGAAAACAGTCTGGCAGGTCCTCAAAAAGTTAAATATAAAGTTACCACAAGACCCAGCAATTCCACTCCTAGGTATGAGCCCAAGAGAAATGAAAACATGTACCCTAACAGAGTTTCATATTTTCCCCTTTCTTGTTGCCCTAGTTAAAGTGTTTCTATTGAAGTAGGATAAAGTTTATTCCCATGTGGATTTAAAGACCTTTTCTTGAGACCCCAGAATGTAACTGAGGAGGTAGGTTAGTTAACACTCTGGTTTATTTATCAAGGCGGCTTGCTTTTAGAAGCCTGATCATTCAATGTCCCCTACAGGAGGCTGTAGTTCTTTGAACCTCCAGAGGAGACTGGGTTACTCTGTTGTCCAGAAGTCATTGGCTTCCTTGGCAGGGCCTTCAGGGTAGTGGCTTTCAGCTATCCTGGGTCACCCAGTACTAACGGGCATGAGCCTTGTTTCTGCTGGGGCTGGTTGAGGGGCGCAGGGCTTAGGGTTAGAGGGCACTTTTCCTCCTCCAACGCTTCTTGGAACACACAGATCTGCCAAGAGAGGAGGCTAAGAAGGGGCTAAACCCTGCCAAGTGGGGATGAAAGCTACAACAGGGACACCAGTGGAGCTGCACAGGGATACCTTTCAGGTCATCTGAAGGTGACCTGAAGGAGGTCACCATCCACTGAAGGAGGGCAGTCCCGTGTTAGCCTGCAGCTCCTGAGCCCAGTGAAGAGGGAGAATCACTGCCCTTTTCTCTAGGGAGTCTGTGCGCCGAGGACGTCACCCTCCATAAGGAGTTTCTAGAAGCACACCCAAGGACGTTGGTGAAATCAGTTCCTCCAGGGAGGGCACACTGCTCCCTGAGGAAGGGCACAAGGAAACAGCACTGTATTTCCTCTCGGACCTTTGGATTTTTACCTGTGTGATACATGACTTGTTTAAAAGGGCAGGGCATGCCCGTTAATAGTGCAGACTCCAGGGGAAAGGCTGCCTTGGTCACACAGGTCAGGACCTTGTACCTCAGTTATTCCAAATGTTGGGACACTACATGAGTTCCTTCAAAACACTGCCCAAAACGTACCCCATGAAGAGTTTCGTACTTGAGGAAAACGAGCACCTGAGACCATACGTAAATGCGAGAGGAAGCATTAAACAAGTGGTTTGAAGCTGAAAGGCCGTACAGATAAGTCTGAATTTTCTAACTTTAATCTTAGATACGGCTAGTGCTTGCTGCTTAGCTTCTTTTCAGGTTTGTTTCCTATCATTTGCTGGCATGGATCGAAAGACTGCCTGCCACCAAATGAGCTATTTCAGGGGGAACACTGAATTCAGAGCACATTGTCTCAGGGAAGGTGCAGACACGCCAAGTCTACAGAAAGCTGAGCAGGCACTGGGCTCCTGTGGCTTTGGTAGGGAAGCAGTGACCTGCCAGACCTGGTTAGACAAGCCCCTGGGCTCTCCAGGTAGGCATGAGCCTTCTATACCAGGGCAGGGCACTTAAATGCCCAGAGGCCTGGGTTTATAGGAGTTGACCCTCAAAAACAGAAAAGGTAGAAAGGCATGTTTTTTTTCATTAGTAAACCAGGCTTTGCCCTTAGTTCAAGCCTTCCTAAGTTCAGGTCAGATCCCCACTACAGAATCAGAAGGTAAAGACCACCAGGAGGACTTAACTGAGAAGGCGGGCACTTCTTCAAGAGGATCTGCCTGCCAGCTGCCGCCAGTGGGACCGAGTCCAGCCACAGGTCTTGTCTCAACCAAAAACACCCTGATGTGAGGTGACCTGGAAATCATTTCAGATCATGAATGACCAAAGAATCTATTTCCATACATAAGCTAATGTCTCAGAATTCTCATTTGCTGTGGGGTACTGAAAGGGTTAAAATAGAATCAGAGCTAGCTTCCCCATCTGTGAAGAGAAGGACCATCTTCTGTTTGGAAGACTACTGGAGAGAACTAGATAGTCATAGCAAACAGGGCTCAGTGCAGTGGTTCTAAGCGATGAAGTGGTAGCAAAGGCTGCCCGTGGCCTGTGGCTCCACAGAGCCCCGCTGACAGTGATCCCACACCTGGCGAGCATGGGCCGGACCCAGTGCCATGCCCATTTGGGCAAGGCTGCCCATGGGTGCAGCCCCCCATGTGGGGAGGGTGAGCCAGCCCCAGGTGCTACTGCCATTCGTGCTGTGCCTGAGTGAATTAGCAGCTGACTGAGACACTGTCCACAGATGAACACATCTTTTAAAATCTAATTTTATTCCTAAAATTGAAGTTAGTTAGCGGGTAGCACTGAAAATACACTTGACTATACAAAAACTGTAAAGGGATGACACATTAGTAAAGAATTTGACAGACACACACATACACTTCTCTAGTGAAAGCAGCGGGATGCAGCCCTTGCTTGCTATAAGAAGCTGTACCTGAACAGAAATGGGCATATTCAGGCGAAGGCCCTGGCAGTTCTCTACAGAATGTTACTTGTTCCCAATTATGTTCAAATGAGGGAAAAGCAACAATGGAAACTTACATTCAAATATCAGCTTTTAAAACATACATGACTACTGGATAGTCGGAGGGATGGTGGCTCACCATCCACTGTGGAGGCTGCATGTAGACAGTGGTCTCATTCAGACAGAAGTTTCAAATGTCTGAGTCACTGAAGTTTAAAACAGGATGAAGGGGAAATAAGAGGACAGAAGTATCTCCAAGAGCAGGAACTGATGCTGAGAGGCTGTAGACAGTCTGGCTTCCAGAGTTTGTGACCAGGGCTGGGTGATAAAACCTGGCAGACCCAGGGAAACTCAGCTTGTCCAAGAACAGATAGGTTTATGGTGTGGACAAAATTTCCACAACTTAGGAGGAACCATTCTGTCCACAATTAGTTCTGAAAATAGCCTGTAAAAATAGCTTCAGCTGCTGAACATAGGTCCCTGCTCCCTTCTTGTCACGGAAGCGGCTGGGGTCAAGCTGGAGCACCTGGGCCTCAGGACTTGAACACGTGCACGGCGCGCACCACATATTGCCGGCAGATGGGACACTCATTCATACGCTTGCCACACTTGGTGCAGGTGACCATGTGTCCGCACTCAAGCAGGACACAGTCAATGACGGCATCCATGCAGATGCGGCACAGGCTGTCGTCGTCCTCATCCTGCAGCTGCAGCCGCTCGCCATCTGGAAGGCAACAGAGAGCTAGGACTGCGGTCAGGCCCTGGCCACCGCGCAGGGCTGCCTGTGCCTGCTGACGACAAGCACCGGCCCAACAGGACCCAGTGTGAAACAACCCCAATTTCTCAGTTCCCTCACCTAGAAAAGGGCAATGGTACCTACACCTCCTAGGGTTTGAAGAATCGGTGAAAAATGGTGGGTTTAGCAGGAAAGAGGCAAATGTTGGGCTATTTAATTCTTACATCTTAAGGTAATTTAAGGTTTTTATTTTAAAGATGTATCACTTCCATAAAAATGAACAAGTTTAGAACTAAGGCCTTAGAAGAAACAAAAGTGGGTTTTGGGATCAGAACACTATTGGCATTTCCAGGTTTGACCTTGCCCCAGCTGTGTGGCCATGGGAGAGTCACGGTCTCCTGAGCCTCATGTCAAGAGTAGGAGCTTTCTTTCCACACTCAGAGGGGAGTTACAAGGAAGTCTAGCAAGTAGCTAAAGCTGGGGAAAGGCATCCCCCAGCCTCGGAAGTACCTCAAGCCATCTGTCTTTAACTGTCCCAACTCTGTTGGGAGTCTAACTCATAAGGGCAGGGCTGGCCATTTTCTGAATAAGAAAGAGGATGAACGGTTTATAAAGCTAACTTCTATCTGAGATCCAACACACAGCTAAGGAGACTGAGGCTTCCCCTTCTAGGGACCACAGGGGACCAATGGGAATCATGAATATGGGGAGGAGAACAGAAACTCAGGCCTGATGGGGCAGAGGTCTCTAGATTTAAGAGAAGTCAGCATCTCAGAGCTGCCCTTGTCAGGAGATTCTTCTCATTTGGGGTCTCAGAGACTCCTTGGGGCCTAGGGGAGAAAGGGTTCATGAGATGCATGAAGGAGGAGCCACTGGATAAGATGCTAGGGGGCTCTCCAGAGGTCTGCACGTTGGTCTCCTTTCCTGCCTGGAAGGTTCTCTCAAATCTCTAGAGCTTAGGAGCATGAAGCAGAGAGGCCAGACAGCCTGTCAGGCAATTACTCAAACCAAAAACTCGCTGCCATTGAGCTGGTTCCAACTCACAGCAACCCCCTTCGGGTTTCTGAGGTGGTAAATTTTTATGAAAGTAGGTTGCCCAGTCTTCTTCCCACAGAGTGGCTGGTGGGTTTAGACCACCAGTCCTCTGGTTACCAGTCAAATGCTTTAGGAACTATGCCACCAGAGGCTATTTGGATGAATTTTGGCAGAAGTAGCTTGGAGCCAAAGTCAACCTGGGAAAGAGTCCAGCCACACTCAGAACACAATGTGTATCCCATCTGAGCTTGTAGATGGAACCAGGTCCGATTAAGCAGTGGGTAATGGAGGAAGGCAATTGTGAAATTATACACATCATCTGGTCTCCTGGAGAGTGGGAACAGCAATATGGTACACTGCATTGTGCCTGGCTGTCACGTTTATAAACAATGATTGTGCCTCCCTGCCAGCTATCATATCCTTGCCACCAACCTGAAGGACCTGAGGATTAAAATTCTTGGATCTCCCACTGTGGCATCATTTTAAAGACAGATGTGCCAAAACACTTCCAGCATATTCTGAATATAAGCCTGTTTATCAACAAGTGCTGTGTTACAACCAGCTTTTGGCTGGGGGTGGGGGGGGTGGGGAGGGTGGACGACAAGGGAACACTCAAAGGATGAAAGTTAACGATGAGAGGACTAAGTATATAAAGTTTGTTGAATGCCACTGAAGTATTTTGTCTGGACCATAAATGTTCAGTGGCTTGGCCTCATCACCAGCTGAGGAAAGTTTCTGCTCCACACTTCATCAATGAATAGTTCTTGACCTCAGCTTTTCCACCTTACACAGAAACCTACTGAAAACTGATGCTAAGAACTGCTTAACATCTTGGCTCTAGGTATCCCCCTCCCTCTGCTTAAGATTTGAAAGCTACAATTGAGATGGCCGAAGCACTGGCCTGCCAGAGCGATTAATGAGAAAACAAGCATTTTTCTAGAGACGAGGGATTTCAGTAGGGCTCTAACAAGTAGTTGATTACGGTGAGAAAAACCAGACTGAACAAGGCCATACTTACCTGCAGTGTGCTCTAAAAGCCAACATCAGTAAAGAACTTACAGCTGGGCTTTTAAAAACCTAAGGAAGGCTACTACGGGGGAGAGAAGCAAAGAAACCTACATGACTTTTGATTTTCTTCATTCTCTTTGTATAATCTGTTTACTTTCTCCACCAGCTCCCATTTTTCACAGCAGCCAGAATAGTTGACAAAATTCCGAGCCAGAATCTCCTTCAGCTGGCGCACGCTCATCCCTTCGACATCTTCAAGGCTCGACAGGTCAGACAAAGACGCTCTCGCTCTCTTTCTGGAGAGCCCAGGGGTCTGAAATCAGGTAGTTCCCATTATGTCTGTTCCTATAAGGCCAGACCTCCCACAGTCAGGTTAAAGGCCTCCCCTCATTCTAGTCTGTCTTCAGCCACAGACACTCTTCCCACACTTCCTTCTCATCAGTCCTTGAAGTGTTCCAAGGTCCTGAATTGAAACCAGAACCAACCTGTGCTGATCTAGCTTAATGTCCACATGGGCACCTTCCCTCCAGCCAGGCTGACATAACTGGATTTTACAGGCAATCTCACCCGTTCCTCTAAGTTATCTTCATCATCATCGTCATCGTCGTCATTATCATCATCGTCATCTTCGGTATTTGCTGAAGCTAGTTCACTTTGTACCTACACACACAATGTATCTGATTAGGATATGAATTCTATTTTCTAAGTGCCAAGCCATATTTACCACTAGAGAAGGTCTTTCTGTATGTCCTCCTCAGGATGCCCCCAACACCTGGCATCTTCTGTGAATCCAGAACAATGCTGCCTCTCCCCCCAAGAGCCGGACCCTATGTGATTTCATAAAAAACTTACTCTGCAAATTACCGCTGAAGCCAAATTCCTATGTGTCTGAACGTGTAGAACCAACCAGAGTATTAACCGCCTGAGAAAAGCCACATTGTGGAATGCCAAAGCCAGAGCGTCCAGCTGCCACTGGGACAGCACTACTGCATTACCAGAGGACCTGCAGACTGGTTTGACCGGAGCCTCGAAGGTACAGATAGAAAGAAACGAAAACTGGTACCAGCCAAGAGTGAGGGGCAGCTAATCAGAAAGATCTCAATTGTACGTTGACGTTCTCACTCCCAAGAATGCTTCCTAGACTGCTTCATGTGTGGCTGATGCTAGCTCAAGTTTTTAAAAATTCCTCTACAAGCAGAACTACTCTCCTTTAGGAAGAAGAACAGAATTCCTCAGATTTGGCTGATGTACCTTCTTAGATGTCTTCCTTTTGACCATGTTCTGACCACAGCTCTACAGCAGTCCAGGTCAGTTCCCACTGATTCAAAAGCCCACGCTGTACCTGAACCACCTCCCAAATGGTGTCTTCTGGGTAGATGGCATCAAAGTCAGATGTGACATTTCTCATTTGGGAAAACAACGAAACTCCTACTGGGACTTCTAATTTATAGTTATCTGGAAGGTTATTAAGCTAAGTTTCCCTCAGCTTTTAACAAATCCTTACACATGGGGTTGCCCTGAGTTGGAACTGACTCAATGGTATCTGGTTGGTTTGGTTTTTTTCATTCAAGGAAGGAAATGAAATGTGAGAGGACTGTTTTAAAACAAAACAAAACAAAAACAGGCCTTAAAAATCACTCCTTTATACAAATCAGTATTAATCACAAGCCCATGCATATCACTGACCCAGGATGCCCAAGGCCTCATTGGGACAATACTCTGCGCTGGCATTTATTGGAAATTAGTAAATAACTTGCATTTTCACTAATTCTGATGGCTTGTTCCCATAATGTAATTCAACAGATTTTCTGCAGTAAGGCAACTGGGCACTGGGTTCACGTACACTGTTGTTTCCATGGTCACTGATACCTGTACAGACATCCTACGGGTGTTTATACTTCACCATTTCAGTTCGTTATTTCAGTGCTTTGTGTTATTTTAACGTAAGTTTTATGTTAACAGACCCAACAAGTAGTAGTTGAGGGCGAATGCTATCCTATGTAAGATACAGAAACTGAGGTATACGGCCAAAGGATTGCTGGGCTAGGTTGGGACCCTTGCGATAGCACTGAACTACTGAGGCTGCGCATCAGGAGAGCTGCCAGTGCACGTGCAGCGGGTGCAGGCCTCTGCTCCCACACAGCCTCTCCTTCATCTGGAGTCAGAGCCCTGAAGGCTGCACCGTCTGTGGCAGAGAGTCAGCATGCCAGGCCCGCAGTGCCGTCCCTCCCTTGTACCTGTGCCAGCGCTCCAGGCCCTGAGGTCCGGTCTCCATCCATTAGCTCTCCCTGAAATGAAGACACGGTAGCAGAGGGGGCTGTATAGTTTGAAAAAAATGAATGTGTAAAAAAGCTAGAAGTCTGGGACCTTGAGGAACTCAGACTGCTGGTGTCCATGTCCTCCTCGGAGCCGAGTCCATGATGGCACAGCACTAGATCCACCAAGTCTTCTTTCTCTCGACAAGTGTCTATCGGAATGTTTCTAAGGAGAAGGTACTGCCTTAGGTCTTTCACTTTCAGTCGCATCAGCTGAGGGCGCTGGAAGGCCGTCTCCTGTAGTAAGTGACAAGTAGCACAGCGGCGGAGATTTTCTTGGAATACCGAACAAACGGAACAAAAATCCTTCTTGCAGTCACAGCATACATGCTGAAGAAACAGAAAAGAAGCATTTCATGAAAGGCAGATATGAACCACTAAGAAAGCACTGATGTCCTTCCTCCCTTCTATTAACATTGAATTTTAGCTCTTTGGAAGCCCCCTTGGACTTTGGACTATTTTCACAGGCACTTGAGTGTTCCAGAAACCAGAACAGTTGCTGCTGCGGCAGTGTGGCTTCACAGAAGTTCAAATACAGCACTCTGAGGAAAACATCCGCTCCTATGTGAATGAATTAAAACCTGCCCACCCCCTGGTGCAAACATGTAATTAGCAGAACAGAGCTGACTTGAACCGCACTGAGCAGAAGGCACAGCCACCAACTCTTTTCCTATGTGAACATTTAAAGAAGAGGAACAAAAAGCATGACCAAAGGAAAGGAAGGGCAGCTGACCCCTCAAGGTCAAGCCAAGAAAACGGAGCACCCCCAGTCCACACCCTACGTAGCCTTAGCACAGCCAGCCCGCTTACGAAGCTCAGGGAGGACACGAAGCATGGATGCTGTCACTTCTGCTTCAGGCATTGTTCCCACAAGCTCATGCTTTTTTCCTTAGGGATTTTAGAAGGACCAAGCTGATGATCAAAACTTGCAAAGATGGCCTAGCAAGACAGAACTACTCCTGGTGAAAATCACTACTTTAACCTGAGTATTTTATGTTGATTCACAAACAGTATTTATCTTATTACACTCTGCTTCAGTTAAGAGTTAAGAATGGGGTTATCATACATACTACCATACTTACTGCCATCGAGTCAATTCTGACTCATAGTGACCCCTCCTTAGGTTTCTGAGGCATTAGCTCTACAGAAGTATACTGCCCAGTTTTCTTTCCAAGGAGTGGCTGGTGGGTTTGAACCACCAACCTTCTGGTTAGCAGTCAAATGCTTTAGGCACTACGCTGCCAAAGCTCCCAAGGATGGGGTTAGGGATACATTTACTTAAAACTTGAGCTCCAAGTTACACTAAAGCATCTTTGGACTAAAGTTCAAACTAAGTAAATCTCATGCTTCAAAAAATAAGCATAATCAAATTAACAACAGTAACCAAAAAGATCAGACAGGAAGCTTAGGGGGCAGTGAGTTCATACTAATGAGGGAAGAACAACTCAGAAAAGGAGGGTAAGAACGGAGGCGCATGACTGGAAGGATGTAACCAATGGCACTGAATTGTGCGTGCAGAAACGGTTGAATTAGTGTATGTGGTACAGTGTACATTCTCTACAACAATAAAATAAGTTATTAAACAAACAAACTAATAAACATCAGGAATGATCCAATAGTAAAAATGGCCCAGAGTTCTGGAGAAAGGTCACTACCCAGTCAGAAGACAGTCCCTTCAACCAAGCACTTTTCTAAATGGGAAAGAGTTAATGGAACTAGACTCTGGATATTTTCATAAAAAGAAATGATGATTCATTAAGGTACTCAGAATAACCTCCAGTCAAGAACTCTGACCAGCTGTCTTCTGCACGTAATGTTCTCTTATACAACTCACCTTCTTCCTGAAGACGGAAAATGAGAGTCCACAGGCTTTGCAAACTATATTAGATCCTTCCGTAGATGCTGGGGGGTAGGAGGAGAAATCAGGGTTTGCTGTAAATCTGAATGGACCAGTGCCTCCTGCAAATCCTGCCTGCTGGCCCCGGACAGCTCCGGTTCCCATGACTTCATTCAGCAGCCCACAGCACGAAGCCCACATGGACGTGGCGCCTGCCTGAAGAGGAACACAGGCAAGAAGCATAGTTAAACCTCAGTTACTCCTGGCCTCTCTAAGCCACGGGGACTTCCATTCAGGAGAGACACATTGGCCTTAAATACAACATGATCCCAATTTTGTCAAAACAAGACACAGAAACAAAGAAGAGCCTAGAAAAAAAACTAGATACAAGTTTGCCCCATGCAACATTCAGGATCTGTTTATACTAAAAGCTTGTTTGTTGTTTATCTGTAATTCACATTCAACTGGATGGTCTGTGGTTTTCCTGGCAGCCTGAGGCTGGCGACTACCATTCTGGTAACTCAAGAACCCAGGCCAGGTTTCACCCAGCTATCACTCAGCAGAAAGAGCAGAAATTCCAGCTGCTTAGTTTCATGAGGGAGCTCTGGGAGCGTAGCGCCTAAGGCA